CCGCCGGGTTCTCCGCCTGTCTTCAAGGCGCGTTACGTGGCTCGTGGCTTCAGTCAGCGGCAGGGAGTTGACTACTTTCAGACCTTCTCTCCCACCCCGAAGATGACCACTCTTCGGGTACTGCTGCACATAGCTGCTCACCGCGACTACGAGCTGCACTCTCTTGACTTCAGCACTGCTTTCTTGCAGGGCAGCCTGCACGAGGAGATCTGGCTGCGTCGCCCACCTGGCTTCACTGGGTCTTTTCCTCCTGGCACCCAGTGGAGTCTCCGGCGGCCAGTCTACGGTCTCCGCCAGGCACCGCGTGAGTGGCACGACACACTGAGGACTACACTTGCGGCTCTTGGGTTTGCTCCCTCTACTGCCGACCCGTCGCTGTTTCTGCGCACCGACACTTCTTTGCCGCCGTTCTACATCCTCGTGTACGTCGACGACTTGGTCTTTGCCACAGCTGACACTGTTGGACTCGCCCACGTGAAGTCCGAGCTGCAGAAGAGACACACGTGCACAGACCTAGGTGAACTGCGCAGCTACCTTGGCTTGCAGATCACCCGGAACAGAGCACGCCGCACCATTACCCTGACTCAGTCACACATGGTGCAGCAGGTCCTTCAGCGCTTCGGCTTCACGTACTCCTCGCCTCAGGCCACTCCTCTGCCTACTCGCCACTCGCTCTCAGCTCTGCCTTCGGATGAGTCCGTAGAGTCGAGTGGCCCGTACCCAGAGCTTGTTGGCTGCCTCATGTACCTGATGACCTGCACACGACCTGACCTCGCATACCCTCTTAGCATTCTCGCACGCTATGTTGCTCCTGGGAGACACAGACCGGAGCACATGGCTGCAGCGAAGAGGGTGTTGCGTTACTTGTGCAGTACGTCGGGCATGGGGCTTGTGCTTGGAGGGCAGAGTCCAGTGGTCCTCACTGGGCACGCAGACGCTTCTTGGGCTGACGACCAGGCTACGCAGCGGTCGTTACAGGGTTACACCTTCAGCCTTGGTTCCGGCTCTGTTTCGTGGCGGGCTACCCGCTCGTCTTCTGTTCTCGGCTCCAGTTGTGAGGCTGAGATCTACGCCGGGGCCATGGCTGCACAGGAGCTTCGCTGGCTCACCTACCTGCTGACTGACCTCGGAGAGCCGCCTCGTTCTCCTCCAGTGCTGTACGTAGACAACAAGGCCATGCTGGCCTTGTGTCGAGAGCAGAGACTGGAGCACAGAACGAAGCACATTGCTCTCCGCTACTTCCTTGCTCGTGAGCTACAGCAGCGTGGTCAGCTGCGGCTTGCGTACGTGGCCTCTCAGGCCAACACTGCTGATATCTTCACCAAGGCACTTGCGCATTGTGATCATCAGCGTTTCTGTACTCAGCTGGGCCTTGTGCCTACCTTGCCTCACTTGCTCACCCCTTGACCTTGTTTGTACTGTTGCATATATATATACACCTGCTCTTGCTTGTCTAGCCTTATATATATATGTAATCCTGCATGTGAACTGGCCTTGTGGCCTTGAACCTGTGCTCGGAATGTGTGGTGACTTTGTGATCCACCCTGAGCTTGCTTTGCTTTGCTTGACTGGTCTTGTGACCCCTTGTTCTCCCCCACTTTGCATATGGGGGTGTGTCAGATTTATATGACAGAGCTACTGTAGGCTATAGTGGGGTAGCACATATGGGGTACAGTTTTCTAGGGTTTGCATTTTGTACCCAACTTTCCCTTAGTCATGCTCATTTCCTCGTTTCTTCTCAGTAGTTAGTACCATATTCTTGCCATTCCACTAGATTAGGACTTCTACTTCAACAACATTATATTAAAACCTTTCCGATCCACATATTTTGGGAGATTTCCGAGTTTTAGTTCCGCCTTGTACCTGCACTCAAGCGTGCATACTGACCTTACCGACCAATGCATTATTCTCTCTGTACAAATACAGTCAATACCATATCTATTCCCATTTCCTTTGAATTGAATCATTCCCCACCCATGTTCCATGTTTTAACCTATTGGATCTATGTAATTTGGCATATATAGACATTCTAGTCGTACATGGTACCTGCACTAGAGGCGCGCATACCGACCAAACTGACCAGCGCATTACTTATGTTTGTAGAGATGCAGTTAGTACCATATTCTTGCCATTTGTACATGGTAATTTAAAGGGGTGGAGAATGGTATAATTTAAAGGAAATGGGAATACATATGTTATTCACTGTATTTGTATGGAGAGAATGATGCGTCGGTCGGTTAGGTCAGTATGCACGCTTGTGTGCAGGTATAAGGCGGAACTGAACCTCTGAAATCTCCCAAATTATACAGATAAGAAAGGTTATAACCTAGTGTTGTTGAAGTAGAAGGTCTAATCATTAGACTGGCAAGAATGGGCTATACGAATGTTATTGCATTACATTATATTCAGAGATTTCAACCATCCTCCTATGTGGACTTCGCATTACTTCATCGAGCCAGAACTTCCACATTTTGCAAACAATGCTACTATAGTATTTGGCGTGTTAGTCGCTCGAGTTGAGTTAGAGCTTCTACCAATACCGGTAGTTAGCACGTACACCAGCTTCGATGGAACCGACCAAGGTTCAAATGGTCTACCAACGAAGTTCCAATTGCATGGGCACGAACACGCGGGTTAATTAATTGCCTCCGCTTCAGGTATAGTTCCCCGCCTCTTGCTAGCAGATTAATCATTCCCTCCCTCCTACTGGTACTATTGTTTAAAAACACATATTGAAGATAATGTCAGAATCCCAACCACTAGACCATTGGGATAAAAGGGCTTGTTAAGTAGCGGGTCAGTGCGCCCATAACCCCCCAGGCCAACATGCCTGTAACCCTTCCCTAGGATCAATCGGGGATCACCAGTGGACCTCTGACACCCCCCCGCACTGGGATGCCCGAAGTGCACACACTGGGATTCGAACCCGAGACCTTCGCTCTGATACCATGTCAGAATCCCAACCACTAGACCATTGGGATAAAAGGGCTTGTTAAGTAGCGGGTCAGTGCGCCCATAACCCCCCAGGCCAACATGCCTGTAACCCTTCCCTAGGATCAATCGGGGATCACCAGTGGACCTCTGACAGATAACTGTCATCTTCTTTGGTGTATAGGAATGCAGCGCAGTACTGATGTTATCATGACAAGGCTCAGTGGATGCTGGAAATATTTGGCAACCAATGAGTCCTCAACCATTCGCCGTATAAGTAACAAAGATAAGTAATGAGATGATTGGAGAGCTTCGAGTCGCGGTCTATCCGGTGCAGCCCCCTTAACGTTCAAAATTCACCTTAGAGGACAAAAAGGGAGCCATTTCATTATCTTCCTGCATTTACTCTCATGTACAACAATTGTGGATTTGTACATCCTTTGTATTATAAACATTAAATATAGAATTCGGACTCTTGTTCACCTTATAGACTTTACTCACAGCAACTGAATAGAGCGTACGCCTGCCAAGATTCCAAAACCACTTCGCCCGCGGCTTCCGCATATGTACAACGAGGACGTTCGCAAAAGTGGAGCTGATTTTGCCATCTTCCGTTGGAATTTAGATAGAGAGTCTGCCAGCAGTTAGCACGTATGATAGCCGCGATGGAATCGGCGAGGGTTCAAAACGGCCAGCCAATGCAGTTCCAGATGTACGGGCACGAGCACGCTGGTTATTTCGTCGCCTCCGCTGCAGCCATAGTTCCGCCTTTTGCTAGCACTCCGCACCTTCCTGCTGAAACTATCGCAGAAAAAGCCATCGAAGCACCCGGTGCTGACGGTTCATCCAAACGTGGCACGTCTTGTTGTAGCTCTTTCCTCGGTATTGCCGAGTCGGACGGAATATCTTCACGCGCTGACGCGACAGCTAAAAGTAACCATGTTCGCAGCCCGAGTTGTAAGACCCTACAACCAGCGGTCTCTCTCATTGGCCAAGCCACTTACAAGGCGAGCTCTACCCCTCCGGAGTCTGGACATGTGGACTGGACACGTGTCACGGCGTCATTGATCGGCAGCGAGGTGGAAGTCAAGGGAAGGGGTAACGACACGAGATTAAACCTGGTTTGGGGAGGTCAGGAGAGGAAGGAACAAGAATCAGGGTTTGAGAATTTGTGCCCTGGCCGATATATGGACGGTTCAAGCGACACGGACCTTAATATTAGCATATTAGATTTTAGACCACTGGAAGGGGCGCTTTCTCTCTTGCGTGATGCTGCAGTGAATTGTACAGTAAGCGAAACGAGTCTGTTACATGGCGAAACAAGTGGAGCTGAGAAATCCACGAACCTTGCTGACGAGGGCATGACCGATGTAGACGTGGAAGCTGCTGGCGCTGACGATGCGGATGCTGATGCTACCAGCCCTGGTACCGGTACTGCTTCTGCTGGTGGTTCTGGTGCTGCCGCTGGTGCTGCTGGTGATTCGTGCCTTCAATCGGAGCATGGGAGCAGCAGCAAGTGTGTCACAGGCAGAGGCCAGAACCTTCCGAGGAAAAGGCCTGGCAAGGGAGGGGGAGCAGGAGGGAAGGGGAGGGAAGCAGTGGAAAGAGGAGGCGGAGGAGGGAGAGGGGGACGAGGTGTGGGAGGTGGTGGAGGGTCAGAGAGTGTCTGGGCATGTGTTAACGAGTTTGTTGCCCGGAACCCTGTTCAGGTGAAAGCCCAGGTGATCTGCTGCCATGCCGTGGCTCCCAGTTCATTTCACCGCTTCCCACCTGACAGAACACCTGAACCGGAGTCAAAGTCAATCCAGCAGGATTCAGGTCCTGCAAAGGGCGAGGGAGAGAAAGCGCTGGACGCAGGAGGAGGAAGAATAGGGGAAAATGGATGGACGGAAGAGGAAACGGGAGCGGGAGGGAAGGGGGGTGCAGGGGAGGGAGTGCCATGCATGGTGCTGGTGATGCAAGTGTTAGTGGATGTATATGTGCACAAGGAGCTTTGGTATCTGCCTGCTAGATGGAAGGGTGGGGCTGCCACTGCCTCTGTTCTCTCCCATCTCCGCTCTGATTGGTCCATGCATCCGTGTAACCAGCCGTGTAACACGCGGCATGTTACGTGTGCGTGTGTGCCGGAGACGAGTCCATCTCCCAGTTTTCCTGCCTGTGATGTGCACGGGTGCACGCTCCATGGCTTTCTGAGCCTCTCCACGTTTCCGCATGCACCAGCGGAAGCCTCCTCTACAGTCACACAACCTGCAGTCACACCTGCCGATGCCACACCTCATACAGTCACACCTCCTCCCAGCGACTCCTCTGACTTCAGCCTGTCCAAGATCTTTCGCTCGCTGCCCAACCGATTTGACGCCCCGACAGTCTACCCGTACGTATACTGCATTCTGCTTACCTCATTTCCCTCCTCCTACCCCCTTACCCCCTGCCCATACATATGATTCCATTATTGTCACATGCACTGATGCTCTGAACCAGCTACTTGTCTTAATAGTTGCCCATCTGATAGAATTCAAGAGTATGATTAGTAATGAGCCAACAAGGCTCTATAATACAAGCATGCAAGGAAGAGAGGGTTGTAGGAGGAGCTAACCCTATTGGCCACTAAGTTGGCCAATGGGTGAGGTGCCTTGTGGAGTAGGCAACCTCACAATGTGGCTAGGTTGGGATTGGTTGGTCTAAGGACCAAAAGTTGGCAAGTGCCAACCAAGGGCCAAGACCAAATCCAATCTTGACCAACCAAAAAGTGTGGTTGGAGTGTACACCCAACCCCCCAAGAACCTAAAGGACTACACCTATTCTAGCCTATGAATGTTGTATATAGTGTACAATTACAACATCATCCCCTTCTCTTCTCCACCATCCCCTCTCTCCACCTGATGTCCTTCCTCCTATGCTATGCATACCCCTCCTTACCCCTCCCTGCCCCCTCCGCTCAGCGACCCCCCTCCAGCACCCCCCTCCTCCTCCGCCCCTCCTTCCCCTCTCCTCTCGCTCCCCCCCGACCTCCTCCTCCTCTCCCTCTCCCGCCTCTCCCCCACCGACCTCCGATCTGCTGCTGCCACGTGTACACGCCTGCGCCAGCTGGCGCTGCCAGCTGTACCCAATCTTCCGCAACTCTCCCTCTTTCCACATCAGCGGTCGGCTCTACAGTGGATGATGGGGAGAGAGAGGGGGAGAGGGGGGGAGGGATGGGGAGGGGTCCCGCAGGGGTTTGTTCGGAGTCCGTTAATAAGTGTGTTGAGGATGAGAGAGGAGGGGAGTGAGTGTGGTGGTGGTGGAGTGGGGAGTGTGAAGGGGAATGGGAAGAGGAGTAGAGGGAGCGAGGGGAGGGTGATGCTGTGCGATGTGACTACAGGGGGGGTGAGGTTCCTATGGAGCAACGAGAGGAGAAGTGGAAGGGGAAAGAGACAAAGTAGAGAATGGGAAGCGGAGGAATGCAAGAGTGGGTTGCAGGAAAGAGCAAGTCGACAAGAGGGCGAGAAGAGGGAAAAGGAAGGTTTGGGATGTTCAGGCTCGGCAACTTTGGAGTCCGGCAGACTAGGCGCAGTACTGGACCTAGAGGACAGGCTCGGCATGGTGCCGGACGTGCGGGGAGGTTTGTTTTGTGACGAGCCCGGGCTGGGTAAGACTGTGACTGCCTTGGCGCTGATTCTCAAGACCAAGGGTTTGCTTCCGGCTGTGCCTAGGGGTTGCCGACTGGTGGTGTGTGGGAGGAAGGGAGAGAATGGGGTGGACGGGTGGAGAGGAGGAAGAGGAGGAGGGGTGTGGAAAGGAGGGTTGCTGGGGTATTACAAGAAGCTTCTACCCGGAGAAGCAAGGAAAGGGAAGGAGTGGGAGGGTGGGGGGGCGTGGGTGAAACAGGCATGGCATGGCAATGCGATTGGCAGAGGGCAGGATGGCGTGGATGAGATTAGGGGGGAGAAGGGGATGGTAGAGTGCGGTTCAGAGGAGAAGGATGCACAGGGGAATGTGTTGAATGCAGTGCAGGGGAGTGGCAACAGGTGTGATGCGGTGCAGGCGCATGGGAGTGGGATGACAGAGGAGCTGTTAACTGGGGGTTGTGTGGTGAAAGGGGGGGGTGGCGGGGCAGAGTTGAAAGATGGGACAGATTTGAGAGGTGGGGCAGAGGGAGGGGAGGAGAGTGCTGGGAGTAGGGCGAAGGGCGGGCGACGTGAGACGGGTGAGGGAAGGGAGAGGAGTGAGGGAGGAGAGAAGCACGCGGGAGAGAAAAAGGGCCAGGGAGGGATGAAGCTTAGGGCAGAGGGAAAGAGCGAGGGAGAGCTAGAGACCAAGGGAGAGGAGAAGAGTGAGGGAGAGTTCAAGAGTGAGGGAGAGGAGAAGAGCAGGGGAGTGAAGTGCGGAGGGAAGGGGTCGAGGAGACCCAGATGGAGTGCTGGCAGGAGGGGCAGTGCAGGAAAGGAAGTATCCGAGGGGGCAGCACGGGAGACAGCAGTGGAGGCATCAAAGAGTGCAATGAGTCAATGGGGAAAGGATCCCATTGCAATGGTGCTTGCCTTGCAAGCGCCGAATCTCAAGAGTCAGATGGACGTGGGAGCTGCGCTGGGATGGAGAGTGGTCCAGAGTGGTGTGCAGGGGATTCGGAGATCAGGGATTTGTGCTGCTGACACGCCTGGGGTTGCTGATGATGGGACTCTTGTGACAGGCACTCAGGCTAGGGAGAACAGCAGCGAGGCAGGCAAAGAGGATGGGAGGCAGGCAGTAGATGTTTCTTGGAGTGATGATGCAGGCAAGGGTGGTGGCGATGGAGAGGAGGAGGAGGCTGGGAGGAGAAGGAAAAGTAGGCACCACGTTGGAGGTGGCAGACGGAATGGTGAGTGTGCTGCTGGTGATGATTTTTTTGGGTGGGGGAACGGTCACTCAGAGGGTAAAGAGGGGGGTAAGGAGGAAGGTAAAGAAAAGGGTAAGGAAGACGGTGAAAATGAATATGGGGTGAGGTACCAGGACAGCAGGAGGCGCTGGGAAGAAGAGGAGGAAGAGTCAGAGGAGGAGGAGGAGGAGGATGAGGAGAGAGGGAGTGGTGAGAGGGAGGATGATGATTGGGTGCCTTCTAGTGCGGGCAGTGACAGGCGAGTGGGTTCTTCTGCTCGTGCCAAGGACTCAACACCGGCCTCTCGTCTCTCCACAAGTGCCTCTCGTTCCTCTGGGCGGATCACTCCCTCGTCTGCTCATTCCCGTTCTTCCCAAGGGTGTGTACGTATTCTTTACCCTCCCCCAAGAGATTCACAACAAACGCAGCAGCAGCGGCAGCAGCAGCAGCAGGGGTGGCAGAAGCAGGGTGAGGAAAAGGATGGGAGTGTGTTGTCCGATATGGGTGGCCGCTTGTGTGTTTCTGATGCTGCTGATGCTGCTGCTGATGGTGCAGATGCTGCTGCTGATGGTGCTGGCATGTGTACTACTAAACGCTGCCTGTTCACCTGCTTTGGAGCATGCAAGTACAAGAGCCTAGGGGAACTAGTGAGTGGCAAAGAGGCCGTGAGTGGCAAACACAGGAGCAGGGCGAGGGGGGCAGCTGCAGGGAAGGTAAAGGAAGCTGTGATTGATGATCGCAGAAGGAGCAGCAGAAGAATAGATGTGAAGGGCAGGGGTTCGGATTGCGGTGAGGGGTTGAAGAGTGCAGCAGTGGGTGCAGCAGGAATGGTGCATGCAGGGAGTTTGGGGCATGTTTCAAGCGATGCAGATAGAGTGGCTGAAACGGTTCTTGGGGGCGGGACACCCAAACGCAGGCGCACAGCAGTGCGTGCGCGCGGAGAGAAGATTGCTGAGGCTTCTCAATCAAGCAAGGTGCTAGAAGCGGTGCTAGAGGGTGGGATGCCCAAGCTCGGGGCGGCAGCGGTGCGTGTGTGTGGACTAGAGGTTCGGGTGGAGGACGCAGAAATGGTGAAGGAAGGGGATAAGGGGGATTGTAAGGTTGGGGTTGATGGGGAGAAAGGGCAAGAGAATAAGGGGGATAATAGGGAAGTGGACAAGGGGGAGAAGGTGGAGAAGGAGATTGGGGGCATGGACCAAGGGGAAAACGGGCGGAAAGAATCAGAAAAGGGAATGAGGGAGAACGAGAAGAATGTGGGAGTGGTAACACGGAGCTGCGGGTTAGGGGTACGGGGCAAGAGGGGGAAGGAGGAGGGCAGGGGGATGATGGTGGTGGAGGAGGGTGGACAAAGGGCAGAGGCGGATGGGCAAGACACAGGCTGGCAGCATGTGACTGTAAAGGATGAACAAGAAGCAGACTGGCAGGGCGTGACTGTCAAGGGCGATCAAGAAGCAGGCAGGCAGCATGTGACTGGAAAGGTGGCTGAGATGAGCAGCGAGGGGCAGCGTGAGACAGACGGCGAGGGCGTGAAGAAGGCCATTGAGTCGACTCAAAAGGCAGTCTGCGAGCGGCAGTGTGAGACAGACGGCGAGACTGTGGAGAAATGGCTCTCCTGCGACGAGTGTGGCAAGTGGAGGAAGGTTCCCGGGAGCTACACCTATCCGGACGACCAGTTGTGGTTCTGTGGGTTAAACCCCGACCCTGCCCGGCGGGTTTGCGCCAACCCAGAGGAATCTGCTAGTGCTGACTCAGACATTTCCTCGTTGCCTGGATTCTGCCCGGTTGAGGAAGCTTTTGACAGCGGGCTGCCCACAAATGTTTCACTATTCGTGGAGAGGATCAAGGGCGGGTTTCGGCGGGCTGAGTCGGAGTTGGAGTGGAGTGACGTGGAGCAAGGGGTGAGGTGGCTTGCTCGGATTGGTCCTGGAGAAGCAGCGAGGCTGGTTGCTGATACTGGTGGGGCTGAGGAGGAGGAGAGAGGAGGAGCAGACAAAGGACGAGGGAGAGGAGTGGCGGGAGGAAGAGGGAGAAAAGTCGAGAGGGGAGGAGGGAGACGAGTAGAAAAGGTCAACAGGGGTGGTGGCAGCAGCCGCAAGGGCAGTGAAGCAGAGGAAGGGAGGGATGTGAGAAGAAAAGGGCTGGTTCCCCCGGGGTGTGTGGGGCGTAGTGAGTGCTGCTCGCACCTGCTCGCCTCCCTCGGGCTTGTGTGGCTGCCTGCCTCGGCCCACACACCTGGATACACAGCAAGGGGAGGACGAGTGCGAGGGGGTGGAAATGGAGGAGGAGGGAGGAGAGTCAATGGCGGCAGCAGAGGAGCAGGAGGAGGAGGAAATGGGCCACGAGTAAGGGGGGGAGGAAGGGGAGGTGGAGGAGGAAGAGGAGGTGGAGGAGGACGAGGAGGAGGTAGTGGTGCAGCAGCAGTGACAGCAGAGACAGCAGTGACAGCAGTGACAGCAGAGACAGCAGTGACAGCAGTGACAGCAGAGACAGCAGTGACAGCAGTGACAGCAGAGACAGGCTATGGGCTGACAGGGCTGGATGTGCTCTCGGGCTTTAATGCACTGTCTGGCCTGCAGGTGTTGACTGGTAGTATTGACGGTGTGAGAGACAGCACTGGTGGGAACTCGTCTCATGTCTCTGGTGCTGTAATGCCAACGACAAGGGCAAGCGCTGCTGCTGCTGGTGGCTGTCTTGGCGGTGTGGGTGTGGGCGGTGTGCGAGACAACACCGGGGGAAACTCGTCTCATGTCTCTGATGCTGTACCAATTGCAACCGCTGCTGCTGGGGATCCGATTCTTGATGTCGATGGCGCTGCTGCTGCTGGCGATGTTGACGTAGGAGGAGGAGGAGGAGGAGGAAGAGCAGGCGGAGCAGGAGGAGCGGTGGGAGCGGCAGGAGCAGGAGGCACAGGAGGGAGAGGCAGGCAAAGGGCCAGCCCCTACCAGAGTGCGCGTGGTGCGTCTGGAGGGTCGTGGGTGCTGCCTCCCTCCCTCTCGCCCCACCTCACCTTTGACTTTTCTTCCTTCCGCCGCGCTCTCGCGATTTTTGAGGGGCATAGAGGGCCGGGAGGGCAGAGAGGGCAGGTAGGGAAGGAGGTGCAGGGGGGAGAGAAAAGGCAGAGAAAGCAGAAAGAGCAGGGAGGTGGGGTAAGGCGAAATGGGGATATGTTTACAGTTAGCACTGCTACCTGTGGTAGCAGCGATAGTGCTGCTGCTGCTGCTGCTGCTGCTGCTGCTGCTGCTGCTGCTAGTAGTGCTGACGTGGCACATAGGGATTACCATTTCGTCTCGTCTGCTACTCTGATTGTGGTCCCCACCACGCTCGTCAGCCATTGGCTGACGCAGATCTCCCGCCATGTGGCACCGGGGGCTCTGCGTGTGTTTGTGTATGACGGGCCCAATCAGAAGGCGCCAGCTGTCCACAGCCTGGCGTGGGATTATGATGTGGTGGTCACCACGTTTAGCAGGCTGAGTGTGGAGTGGGGGGGAGGGGAGGAGGGGGAGATGGGATGGGGAGGGGAGGAGGGGGATTGGGCGAGTGAGAGTGAGGGGTTTGGGAGTGAGGGTATGTGGTGTAATACAGAGGACGGGGAGGAGGAGGGAGAGGAGGAAGAGGGTGAGGAGGACCAAGGGAAGGAAGAGGAAGGAGAGGAGGGTGCGGGGACAAGGGAACGTGCGGAACAAGATAAGAAAGCAACGGAGGGAGATCGGAGTAGATTGGAGGAGCAAATGATGCAGAGAGCTGGAGGAGCTAGATTGGGAGATCGGAGTAGGAGGGGGGTCAAAAGAAGGTGGGAGGGACAAGCAGATCAGACAAACATCACCCACCAGTTGGGTTCTCTAAGGGGACGCACTCCCAGATGCAGACAAGCAGAGTCACCCGGATGGCCGTCTCATGGATGGCAGGACGGCGGTCGGCGGCCTCAGCGGGCGGCGAGGAAGCGGGTCCGGCTGGGAGTGAAGGAGAGCCGTCGGATCGCGTCCCCGCTGCTGCGCATCCATTGGCTGAGAGTGATTCTGGACGAGGGGCACACGCTGGGTGCCAGCCTGGCAGCCACGAACAAGCTGCGCATGGCTGTGGCATTGAGGGCTGCAAGGAGATGGATTCTCACAGGCACACCCACTCCCAGCACCCCCACTAGCCAGGTTAGTCGCTCCTCTTGCTGAAGTCTCCGGAAGTTTCCTCACGTTCTGGGCCACTCTCTGCCATTCCCCACCACTCCCCACCACTTCCCACCACTCCTAACCATTTACGGACGGCAGCAGGACGTGTGGGAAAATATCAACCCTCTCTTCACATGCCTCACCTTTCTTTCCCCATCCTCCTCTTGCCCCCCTTCACCCCGCCTCTCAATCCCTGCAGGTTGCTCACCTCTTCCCGCTGCTCTGCTCTCTTTCCTGCACGAGCCCATAAACGGCCGGCAGCAGGGCGTGTGGTTGGGTTGGGGTACCCCTCTTGCCACTCACATCCCCCGTCTCCCCTGCTTTTCTCCTCCACTCCACCCCCCTTTCCTCCACCTTTTTTCCAGGTAGCTCACCTCTTCCCGCTGCTCTCCTTCCTGCACGAGCCCATCTACGGCCGGCAGCAGGGCGTGTGGGAGCGGGCGGTTCAGAAGCCTTTCGAGGCAGGCAGGCCTGAGGGGAGGCAGCGACTGGTGCAGGTGTTAACTCGGTGCATGTTCCTGGGGCAGAAGAAGGACGTGCTCTCCATCCCGCGCTGTGACAGGAAGGTGGGTGACCATCTGTGCATGCGGAGGGAAGGTGGTTCAGAGGGCGGTGAGGGGTTGATAGGCCAGCAGTGGGCAGGCAGCGTGGTGCTGCAGGTGATGCTGACTGACTGACTCCGAGCATGTTCCTGGGATGTTATTTCATTGATTAGAAGGAGAAAGGAGAAAGGCGATGTGCTCATCTCCGCCTCTCCTCTTCTTCCCATTCCACAGGTGAAGCTTCTCTCCTTCTCCCCCCAGCACGCTGCCTCCTACAACGAATTTGTCGAGACCGTTCAGCGAAACCTGCTGCTGGCTGATTGGATGGACCCCTCCCACGAGGAGTCCCTCTTAAACCCTCGGAACTTGAAGCAGGCCAAGCAGACGCTCAATAACGTGCGCCTCTCGTGCTGTGTTGCCGGGCACATGGAAAGTTACGACCTGCCCGGGGATATTGACGAGACGATGCAGCAGCTGGTGCAGGGCGGGCTGGAGCCCGGCTCGGGCAGGTTTGAGGAGATTCGGGCAGCTTTGAAGGGAGGATGCTGCTGTGAAAGGTGGGTAAAGCAAGAATGGGTTTTTTCTTGGCATACTCGTTTTCCTAACCACTCAACCTTGTTCAAACCTTTTGCACCCTTTTTCATTACATCTTGTCCACACTCTCACCCTCTCTCGCTCATTCCCACTCGCTCCCTCAGGTGTGGGGAATGGGTGCGTCTCCCCATAGTCACCCCCTGCCCACACCTGCTGTGCATCACGTGTGTGGCAACGGACAAGCACTCGTGCGCCATGCCGGGCTGTTCGAGACGGTACCGCATGCAGGAGCCCAAGGACATGAAACGGCCAGAGAATGCGAACCCTAAATGGAGCGTGCCGCAGGATTTGATCGAGCTGCAGCCATCGTATGAGCAGGTGGGGTCCTTTTGTTTGGACTGTACATTCTAGGAGGGAGGGATGGGGTGTGCCCGACAGTACCGCCTGCAGGAGCCCAAGGACATGAAGCTCCCTGAGAACGCGAATCCCAAGTTGAATGTGCTTATTTCTCCCACTCGTTATGCGATGAGGGAGTGTTGTGCGTAGTGGCTGGACACAGCGAGCACCTCGTCTCACCCTCATTCTCCCCTTTTCTCCCACCTTTCCTCGTTCTCCTTATCACTCCTCGTGTGCAGAGGGAGTGGCATCTGGAGTGGCAGGCGACAGCCAGCACCAAGGTGGACTACCTCCTCTCCCAGCTGCGCCTGCTTGCTCCCCCACCACCATTGCGGGATTCGGACGAGCAGCTGCTGTCACATACAGCACAGTCACCATCGGCAGCACAGCCATGCATAGCACCGCAAGCGTCAGACGAGCCACTGGCTGGTTGCACGAAATCACTCTCAAGAAGCCCGGAAAGGGGTTATGATACAGCAGAGCATGGGGACGGGGTGGCGGATGGCTGTGCAGCCCAGGCCATGGAAGCACATGGTCCTGTGGCTGCTGCTGGGGGCTATGGCGGGGAGAAGGGGGGATACGGGGGGGAGAAAGGGGCGTATGAAGGAGGAAAGCGGGGGTATGGGGGAGAGAAGGCGATAGTGTTCACGCAGTTTCTGGAGCACATTGCACTGCTGGAGGCACAGCTCACACTCGCCGGTGTCAACTTCGCTGGCCTCTACAGCCCGCGCCCCCAATCCGTCAAGGTCTGTCCCACTTCACATTTAAAGGCGTGTAACAAATCCTCACACACTGCGGTGTCGAGTTTGCTGGATTATACAACCCATGACCTTAATCCGTCAAGGTCTGTCCCATTTCGTTCAAGGCCGTTTCAGCACCAGACAGACGTTTGGTGTCCAACCTGCTGGCCGCTGGTCACTAGGCGGCATGCACAGCACTAGTCAGTACTTGTTGGGTTTTCCGGTGGGCCACAGGAAGACTGGTAGAGGCAACTTTTTGCCACAGCCAGACTTATGCACCCGTCCATGACTTGTGCCCTGCCTGGTGCGAACTTCTTCCATCCATCCATGCACCCATCTGTCTGTGTATGCACATGTGTGATGCTGTGGGATGTGATGTGATTGTTGTGATGTGCTGCATGCATGCATGCATGCATGAACGCATATACATGCGCTTCTGCTGCTGCTACTGCATGTGTGACTATAACGAGAGCAGATGCAGGAGCTGCTGCGCTTCCAGCACGACCCGGAGTGCCGCGTGCTTCTAATGGACGGCACGGGTTCACTCGGGCTCGACCTCTCCTTTGTGTCACGCGTCTTCCTCATGGAGCCCGTGTGGGACCCCAGGTGTGTACTATCCCATGTTCTCACGGCAACCACATGCACATGGACCATGGTACTCACGGCCATTGCATGGCCTATTTTCCACAGCAGCAAACTTACACCCCATCCCATGGCCCCCATCCGACCCATCCGACCCATCCGACCCATTTGACCCTATGCCCCCCCTCCCCTTGCCAGTGTGGAGGAGCAGATGGTGTCGAGGGCGCATCGCATGGGCGCCTCTCGGCCAATCACGGTGGAGACATTGGCCATGGCAGGCACTCTGGAAGAGCACATGCTGCAGATACTACAGGTACGCCTGGTGCAGGCAGGTTTGATGCAGGTAGATCTAGTGCAGGTAGATCTGGTGCATGTATATTTGGTGCAAGTGTTTTTATGCCTAGCTCACACCTGTTCGCTCTTTTTATCAATCCCTCCTCATTTACTTGGTGTATTCTCCCGGATCCCCCCTCTCCCCTCACCGAATACCTGAAAGTGGACTGCAGGTGAAGCAGTGGCGGGCTAGGGAGGCAGTATTGCGCTCTTCCATTCTGCTCGCCCTTCCCATCCTCCCCTGTTTCCCCTCCTCCCCTGCTTCCCCTCTTCCCCTTCCCCTCCTCCGTTGTTTCCCCTCTTCTTCACAGCGACTTCCTGACAGTGGAGCACAGGCGAAGCAGAGGCAGGCGCGAGAGGCCGTGGCACGCAATGCCATCCTGCTGGCGCTGAAGCTCGTCCGCACCGCCGACTCCTCCCTGCCCCTCTCTCCCTCCAACGCCACCTCCCCTGCAAAACCCCTCTCCTTCTCCCAAGCCTTCTCCTCCGCCCATCCCCTTGTTTCCACTACCCCCCTAACATCCCGCCAACCCCTCACTCACGCTGGCCTCTCGCTCTCCCCCTCCCTCTCCCTGCCAGCAACTTCCCTGCAGCCTCCTGCCTCTGCCAACCCTCTCAATGCATCCCTCCCCACAGGTGGGCAGTCAGCAGTGAATGGGTGCTGCTTGCCTGCCCAAAGCCCATCAGATGCTGGTCAGCACAAGTCAATATTTGGGCCACGCACATGTGAGGGAGATGCAGTTGCTGAAGGCGCATTTGAAACAGGTGGGGGAGGCACAGCTGGTGCCACCAGTGAGGCTGCAGGCACCAGCATGGTTCCCCTGCTTGGCGCTGCCACAGCAGGCTGTGCAGTCAGGGCAGCAGAGGCAGGGGTAGGGGGTGTGGCAGGGCCGGTTGCTGCTCACACTTCACATGCTCCTGCTTCTTGTGGCAGAGGGGAAGGGGAGAATGGTGCATATACAATGCAGGCAGGACAGGGATTCATTGCAAGGGAGAATGGAGGCGCACCGGAGGAAGGGCATGCAGAGGAAGGGGGGCATCTAGAAAAGGAGCGGCATTCAGAGGGTGGAAAGGAAAGGGATGGTTGTCAAACAAAAGAAAGGGGGGGCATTGCTGCCAAGGAGCTCAGGGAGGGTAGCATTGAGGCACCAGCAGTGGAAGGAGCAGAAGGCAAGGTGAATCGGAGACGGCGGGTGGTGCGGTTTGCAGATGAAGGCATGCAACCGGAGCTGCTGGCTAGGGTGCTCAGACCAGCAGCTGAATGAGTCTCCACACCACACCAGCTCCGGTGCGCTACCTACTGAATTTTTATATATATATAAGGGTGCTTGTTAGCTTTTTTACACTGTCTCTGTACGGATATTTTACTATAGAATGGTATGCTGTGTTGTACGGAAGTGTATATATGTAGCTTGTGCATGCCCAGCTTGAAATGCTGGAGTGTGAGACTGTGTTGGGAAGCCTAGCTGTAGCTGCACGGCTTACAAGTCACCAGGTCTTTTCCATGTCAGTGTGTTGTGGGCTTCACATACTTAGGGTAGTTGGCAATGCAATGGCAAATGGGCGACACAACAAATGCTGGACGTCTCTGGGTATTTTTTCCAAGGAATAGGGTACTCTGAAAAATCAGAGTAAGGCTCAGGAACAACCCTGGATTTCAGAGTTGAGAAGGCTCAGGAACAACTTAGTACTTCAAATCCAAAAGGCCCTGGCTGGAAGTAGGATCGTGTGGGGTAGTGTGTCAGTACATGCAGGCACTATTTGTTGGATTGATAAATCTTCTAAAACAGCAGCAATTAAGGCACTACGCAAGCAAATCAGCAGCATACAATCAACACATGACAGCACCAACTACTGAGCCATACACCTACAGCGCCACCAACTCCTGCTCTGCAGTCCACGTCTGGCCTGCCTGCAGCTCCACCTCCGATAGCTGAACAAGGGGGGGAGGAGATGAGATGAGAGGGAGGTAAAGGGCAGGGAAGGGAGGTGAAGTGAAGTGGAGAGGTCTGCCTGCAAATGCATTTCCTGGAGGGGTGACGAGGAGCGAGGGGAGAGGGAATGGAACGAGAAGAGCGGGGAACGACATGCAGAGAGAACAGGAAACGGATTGGAGTGGACGGGCCAATGCAGGGAAGGGGAAGTGAGCGTGCGAGCAAGTGACAAGAGAAGTTGTAAGCAGGCAGCCAGGCGGCATACCTTGGCGTTTTCAACGCAGACAAAGTCGAGGTAGCAGGCGGGCATGGTGAGGTGGGGGCTCCACACCACGGCGTCAGTCCACCCCTTGTTGCGAATGGCTAGCTTCCTGCCCAGCCCGTTGTCCAGCACGAGCTCCTCTGGCGTGTTGAGATACATGCAGTCCACGAAGCCAGGGAAGGTCACCTCGTCCCTGCATAGGGATGAATGGGCGAGTTGGGAAGGGCGAATCAGAAAGGGACAATAAAGTCTTTGCCGTAACTGCCCAGCCCATTGTCCTCGGGTGTGTTGAGATACATGCAGTCTACGAAGCCGGGAAAGATCACCACCCCCCTGGGGAAGCGACATGGGGAGAAGGAGGGCGCGAGAATCAAGGTTGGCCCGCTACCCAGCACGAGCCGCTCACTGGCACGTGCAGCTCCTCTGGCGTGTTAAGATTCATGCAATGGGGCTGGTGGGGTCGGGGTCCTTGTTGATGAGTGAGCACATCAATCCTTGCTTTCAACCCCCACACCATCCATCCCCTTCCCTCAACTCTCTTCCACGCCCGCGATGGGGTTGGTGGGGTTGGGGTCCTTGTTCAGGGACTAGCATATTTCTCCCTGCTTTCATCCCCCACTCTTGTCCACAACCGTTTCGCCCCACTTCCCCACGCTCCCAACCATCCCACTCCCTCACCTCTCCTCCACGCCCGCGATGGGGTTGGTTGGGTCGGGGTCCTTGTTGAGCGACTTGGCGCCCTTAAGCCCAGTCACCTTCACTCCGCCAATAGCAGCCTGCCACGTGGGAGGGAGGAGGGGGCATGCGTGGTAACACAGGATGGGGAGAGAAGTGAACATGTGGTTGACAGGCAAGTATTGGATTGGGAATGTGTGCACTGCACACCCGAACGTAGGAGTGCAGGGCGGGGGTGAAAGAGAAGGGGATGTTACCATGTTAATATGGTGCTAGCATTCAAATGGCAGTGGAACCCAGTGGATACGAGTGGAACCCGATGCTGTGGCCGTGCAGCCAACTGTGCAGGCAGCGTGCAGTGGAAAAGCAAACAGATATGGTATGGCAGGGTAGCGCACGCGGAAGTAGGAGTGCAGAGCGGTGGTGAAGGAGAAGGGCTTGCTGTCCGTGTTGGCCACCGTGAAGACCGTCTCCAGCTTGCCCTCCGACAGGGAGATCTGCGTGAGGGAGTTGAAGGGTGGGTGGAGTGAAGCAGGAAAGAAGAATGCTTTGCATCTCAAAAGAAGAAGGTTTGCTGTCCGTGTTAGTCACCGTGAAGACCGTCTGCAGCTTGCCGTCCGACAGAGAGATCTTTGTGAGGGAGGAGGCAGTGACGGATAGGGAGGAGGAAGAGTAGGACGACAAGGAGGGAACATACACAGTGAATTTATAAGCGAATAGATTGTTGTTTGCGCTGACTGTCAGGCTAGAGTCAGCTTGAGTTAGACAGGGCGATCAGTGGGAATGGAGGGAAAAAAGGCATGAGGCGTTTCACAAAAGCCTGGATAGAAGTAGTGTGTGATGCTTGATTCATCCTCTCCAATGTTCAACATTTATTGCCTGGTCTGCATGAGTTAGAGAGAAGCAGTGGTACCTTGAAGGTGGCTTTGAATGCGAAGTCCCACATGGCCCGCGAGTACTCGTTGTCGGAGGGCGAGGGTGAGCGGGGGGGACAGTGAGACAGGGGGAAGACCAACGGGAGGGGGCGGGTGGTGGTACCTTGAAGGTGGCCTTGAAGGCGAAGTCCCACATGGCGCGCGAGTACTCGTTGTCGGAGAGCGCGAGGGTGAGCGAGGGGGACGCGCCCCCCTCCGCCGCCTCCACTTCCCACGTCAGGTTGCGCGCAAAGCCGTGCTGCGCGGCGCAGGGCGGGGCGGGGGGGAGGGGGAGAGGCGGGGTGTTTGGGAAGGGCGAGTGCACTGGATGTGTTCGTGTGCGAACGCTATTCCTGAAAATGTAGCATGCCATCATCACACCGACCACATCATGACGTCATCACACCTGCTGCATGGCGCCTGGCCCAAATTGGGGGAAGCAGTGCGGAATGCCGCCGCTGATGGGCTTGGCGCCGGTGAATACCGCAGCGAGAGAATGAGAATGAGTCACTGCAGCAGTGAATCACCTTGTGTTCGACTATAATGCACTACCTGTGCTCTCATGCATCCCCTACCTGCTGCATGGCGCCCGGGCCGAACTGCGGGAAGCAGTGCGGGATGCCGCCGCTGATGGGCTTGGCGCCCGTGAACACCGCGTCTGTGAACGGCGCGTCTGTGAAAAGCGCAGCACATCTTACCTGCTGCATGGCGCCCGGGCCGAATTGGGGGAAGCAGTGCGGGATGCCGCCGCTGATGGGCTTGGCACCGGTGAACACCGCGTCGGGGCGCACGAACAGCAGGTCCTCGCCGGACGGAAGCTTCCAGGAAGTCGTGCAGGCGCCGTAGAGGTACACCTCGGCCGTGCTGACAGGGAAGGAGCCGAGATGGAGGAGGAATCCGGAAGGGATCGCGTGGAGAGATTAGGTGGATAAGGATAGAGCAGACGAGAATGGAGGAGGGAAGGAGCTTGAGGGAAGAAGGGAGGGGGAGGGGACGACGGAAAGGAAAAAGACTGGATGGGCGCGTCAAAGCACTATTGGGGTAAGACTATGAAAGCAGGAATGGGCAGGTTTCGGAGAAGGGAAACACGGGAGGGGTGGCATGCGCGCACCTGCCGGAGGCGTCTGCGAGAATGACACGTGGCAGGCCGCCCAGCCCGTCGTCGAAGCTCACTCCGTCCTTGCCGAACTTCGCCTGGAGGTCCTTCGAGCTAGGCTCGGTTCTGGTACGGAGCGACACGGAGGCACGGGGGAAGAGAGAACGGGAAAAGGTACAGTTTGGAACAGATGTATCAAGTTTCGAATGTCACATTTCCGGGTGAAGCAAAAATACTGGCTTATAACCAAGTACCGCACATGATCCGCAAGTTCTTCTTGAAAGTGCAATAAGCGATGAAGCTAATATGGCAGCAAGGCGGGTTCTCGTGCTGCCAGAATGTGGCGTGGGTTCAACCATCGGAGGTCCAGCCAAACACCTGTGACCTACGCGGCAGAAGCCGACACGTTGACGCGCGACACGTGGCTCCTTCCGCTGCTGGCTCCTCGTGCGACCGCTGCGCGCAGAGGGTTCACGGGAAGAATGGAGGCATGAAGCCTGTCAGCGGCTGACGCGTGGCTCGCTGCGACGGGGCTGCGGACCGCCAGTTGAGACAGGAGCGCGGAATGGGCGGCGACGGCGCGAGCCATGGTTAGTCTGAGCTAGGATGAGACGAGGAGAAGGTCAAGTGAAGTGTTAATTCTGGAATACGTGCAAAGAAAGAACAGCATTTTATATTTGAGGGAATTCAAGGCAGCCTTGAATCTGCCTTAGGAGAGAGGCCACGCAGTCTGATGCGAATTGCACGGCTGCGACACATTTTGATTATCCCAACCCAAGGCTGGTTGCCTGATCCCACCAGAGAAACGGTGTTCTGTAATGCAGAAGTAAATTGCTGACGTGGATCGATGCCACGTGAATGAGGTCTGTGGTTGGAGTTTGGTCTAGGTGGCAAAATCTTCATTTTTGCCCCCCAGATGCTCGAGAGCGGAGAAACACACGTGGAATATTCATCGTGCTCGCGAGCGCTAGTGCCGAAATTTGTTACGCTGGTTTGTTACGGTTTTGTGCGCTCAGTGCAGTAATTTCGCTATGAGGCAACTCGTGATGAGAAGTACACCAGAAGGAGCAGAAGCAGTCTTTGATAGTGATAAGATAACCGTGATGCCGAAAGGAGGAGGGAAATCCTCGAAGCGTGCCTCAGGTTTGCCCCATTAGTAGTTCCAGCAAACTATGCTCGTGAAGTGTGACTAGGTTTATATTCTTGTATAGGCCCTCCGTTTCGACCTTAGTTTGACACCTATTCCATCTCCACCTGTCAGTCTGCGCACTTTCCGCTCCGCAGTCTAGTCGAACGTCTCCACTGTATTTTTCGGCGTTCTAATCAGCATAAAGTCACCCAGCCATGGGGGACGAGACGGTGTCCAGGCTGTTCCGCGTGAGACGGACAATCTTTGAGGTCCGTTACGTTCTACAGCATGCTCCATTACGTATCAGGATGGCACGTTACGCAGTTTATTCCGCTGCTTCCGTAAACCAAAAAACACTAAATCCTCTGCCCTTTCCCTCAACCCCTTATCTTCTGCACCTTGCATTTTGCTGCTGCATAATCTCAGTACACGTCACACGCTTATACATCATTTTTGGTATTTCTAGTGAACACAATACTCCCCGCGTGTGTTCTTGTTTTGCTGGATGGTCAGATGCTACACGACCGCGGGTACCTAGTAGCTGATCGGGAGCTTCGATCGACCAAGGACGATTTCAGAGACCAATTCGGGGACGACCCTCAACGAGACGATCTCACGCTACTGAAGCAGAAGAGGGACAACCCTAGCGACGAGGTGGGAAACCCGAAGTGTGTTTGAAGCACGTGTATGCGAAGCGGAGGTGGTCACGAAGATGTTGTTTGACTTGCTTGAAATCTTCTTCGCATATTCCCCCTTATTCCTCCTCTTGCACTACTCTCCCCCCCACTCACCCTATTCCTCCTTTCCTCCTCTCACACATCCCCTCCCCCCTTTCCTCTCGTCCTGCTCCCCCATGCCATCTCACTCCCCCCGTGTCTCCTCTCAGCCCACTCCCCGCTTCCTCCTCTCACATCCTCCTCTCATCACACACATTGCCCCCATGAGCTCAGACTCCCTCATGAACCCACATGCGCATATCTACGCGTTCTTCCCAGTGGAGGCGAAGGTTGCCATCAAGACTTCTTCTGAGGCGCCCTAGACGAAGAAGTCATACACACTGCTCTCCCCTCCTCTCATCCCGCTCCCCTCTTTTCATCCTCTCACACCAGCCAACCCCCCCGTCCCTCCACCCCCCCACTCCCCTCTTTTCATCCCCCCCCCACCCCCCCTTCCCCTTCCCTGCACCCACACGCGCAGATTTACGTGTTCTTCCCGGTGGAGGCGAAGGTGGGCATCAAGACGCTCAAGGGGTACTACGAGAAGATGAAGGGGTCGGGGCTGTCACGCGCCATCATGGTGGTGCAGCAGAACCTCACGCCTTTCTCCAAGAAGATCCTTGCTGACATGGCGCCCAAATACATCATCGAAGTCTTCCAGGTACGAGATTCTCGGGTGGTTCAGATACTCATTTCTCAGGTGGTTCAGGTACTCGTTTCTCAGGTGGTTCAGGTACTCATTTCTCAGGTGGTTCAGGTACTCATTTCTCAGGTGGTTCAGGTACTCATTTCTCAGGTGGTTCAGGTACTCATTTCTCATGGTTAATGCTGGGTGTTTCATGTGACAGTTTACTGAGCCGCTTTGGGTCATCACCCTTTTGAAAATTGCAATGTAAATCGTGTATGGTTTCTTTGCTGATACGGCCCTGCATGTATTGTCATGCCCTTCTGATCATCACTTTGCTGTTCTTTCATTCCAACCCTGTCCCAATCGACACACAATGGCAGGAGGGCGAGCTGTTGGTGAATGTGACAAAGCACGAGTTGGTGCCACAGCACGTGGTGTTGACAGACGAGGAGAAGCACATTCTGCTCGAGAGATACACCGTCAAGGAGCACCAGGTCTGTCTGATGGGCATAAGTTTGAGGAATTTCTTGCAACTGAATTTCATTGGCTGTCCCCATCTCTCTTGCACTCTTCCATGCCAAACCCCCCCCCCTCCCCCCCGTCCCCGCCCCCGCCACTCCCCCTCCTCACCCTCCCCGTCTTAGCTCCCCTGCTGCTCACCTTTTTTTCACCAACCGGCTACCTTTTGTTAATGAGCATGCCCTGTGGTGCCCAATGCCCCCATACTAGCTCCCTCTTGCATTTCTATCTCATCCCCTTTCCCCCAACCTCTCGTTTACGCTCACACCAACTGCCCTGCATGCGGAGGAGTGATTTGTGCTTGGATAATTGGGCTGGTTACCGATCTTATCCATATAGGCATGTATCCGATGCGCATGCGTTGTTTATTCCTCTCTCCCTCACACCAGCTGCCCCGCATGCAGAGGAGTGACCCAGTGGCTCGGTACTTTGGGCTCAACAGAGGGCAGGTGGTGAAGGTTCTCAGAAACAGTGAGACTGCTGGCAGATATATTAACTACCGGCTCGTTGTGTAACTGGCCATGAGACTGGTGGGAAAGAATAGAAAACTAACCGCAACCGGAAGGATTGTAAATTCATACTAATACCGTACAACAGTTTCTTAGGAAGTGATAGCTCTCATTTGTGACTCAGTAAATCGGTCTGTTTCCAATAATCACAGAGTTTCGAATACAGGGAATCTGGTTATGTGCATGGATCTGTTGTGTTATATAGAGCTGTGTTTGTTGTTGAATTGTAACACAAGCTCCATTCGGCGAAGCTGGACTCAACAAGGAATTGGCGAAGCTCGCGCTGTTCCGAGACACCTTGCCCTAACGCTTCGCAACGCAACCCCATGCATTTCGCCAAGCTCTAGTGCAATGCCGTCCACTCATTCCCCTGATAGCCTATCACTGACCTAATACCTGACGCTCTACCTAACCTACTCAGCTTGACTGTACGGAACGTTCGAACGTCTTCGACACACCTTAGGTGATTAGAACCAATTACCTCGACGACGGCCTTGCACGTCACGCATTACGGACATTCTTTCTCTTGTCAACTATTTTTCCTCGGTGAAGCACTGAATTGTACGTACGTCTACCACGTTAAATTCCTACTAACGAGCATTAGTACCCCTTCGACAATGCTACTAGTCCGTCGCTCTCCTTTCAGTCTCTTCGCTCCAGGTCGGCTCTTCTCTCACCGCTGTTGTTTCCTTATCCATCTCCGCATTACCATCCTCGCATGTCTGCTCACCCAAGTCTCGTCCACTCCTTCCCTCTTCTCCCCACTGTAACCTCGTAATTTCCGCTCGTATGGATACCACCAACGCGCTCCGTCGTGCGACCCTCTTCCGTCTGTGCAGTGGAACGCGAGTAGGGAGTGACACCCCTTGCACGAACGCTGTTGCCGTCCGCGAGTGAGGAGTGACAACCATCACACTGACGGTCTCTACCTCACACTCCTCCCTTTCGTGAATAGGGAGTGAAAACCCTTGCACTCACGCCACCGCGCTGCGCGAGTGGGGAGCGACACAATGCCGGCCTCAGCGCCCTACTCGCCCACGCCGGTCGCCTCCTCGCCACTCCCCAAGTGCGTCTCTCCATTCCAGTTCCGTCTTTCGCTGAATTGTGCGCGCGCTCCTGAATGTTTCGTTGCAATACCCCCCCCCCCCACCTCTCCCTTCTTCCATCCCCACCTCTCCCCACACTCCAGGCGAGCAACGGACACCTTTGAGCCGCTGAAAGTCCCCAGGGGGGGCTCGGCATGGGGCACCCTGCTGGCAGCGTTGGCAGTGGTGGTGCGGCTGGCGTGCGCACCCCTCTCCTGGAGCCTCTCAGACACCCTTCAAACCGCTGCCTCCTCCCCTCATTTCCGCAACTCTCCCCTGAAATCTATCCCCATCCCCACCTCTCCCCACACTCCAGGCGTGCAACGGACACCTTTGAGCCGCTCAAGGCACCCAGAGGCGGCTCCGCATGGGGAACCCTTTTAGCAGCACTTGCGGTGGTGGTGCTGCTGGCGTGCGCGCCCCTCTCCTGGCGCCTCAGCACCAAGCCGTGGCGCCCACATCTCTTCCCGCCTGTCTGCTGCCCGCCCACGCACGTGCACGCTCAGGCGGACCAGCTGCCGCGTCTGTTCATGTTCATCGGCACTGAAGGGAGCGGGCACGACCTCTTTGAGTACATTTTTAGGTACGGCCCGCAGGCAGACCCATACATACACGCACGTGCAAGCACGTGCACGCTCAGGCGGACCAGCTGCCCCGTTTGTTCATGTTCGTCGGCACTGAGGGGAGCGGGCATGACCTCTGTGAGTATATCTTCAGGTAGGTTTCCCTTCATCAATTTACAGTTGAGCTCCCACAGTGGTCATGTTCATCGGCACAGAGGGGAAAGGGCACGATCTTTGTTAGTATAGCCCGAGGTGCGGCCAGCTTGCTTGCCTGTTGCTGTGCGACCCATGTGCCTGTCTGTGTGTCACTTTGACTCACATGCGCCACGCCGCATGCGTGTGCCGCTGCTGCCACCTGCACCTCCCGCATTCCTCCACCTGCTCCACCTCCTCATTCCTTCTCCCTACTTGCTCATCCCAGCAGCAGGTACCCATTGAACGTCAGCATGGATCACTTAAAGCCCCGACCTTCCATCCACAAATCGCACTGCCTTCTTGCCTCTCCCTCACTTCCTCCCTCTCCCTCTCTGCCCCCGCCCAGCTACCTGCCAGTGAACATAAGCATAGATCGATTCAACCCCGACCTGCACCTCACATCGTCGCCAGGGCAGAAGGTGGCCTCGGCGCAGGACCCCACCGGTGCCACTGTCGACTGCCCCAAGCTGCCCTACTCGCGCCACGTCTACGACTTTGGTGTTCGCATGTCCACCGCCCTCAAGTCCAAGCTCCAGGTAACCCCGTCTTGTACCTGCCTGTACGCTCATACTCTAGCTGCCTGTAATTGTTGTGCATCAGTGTGTGGCCTGCCCCTCATCTCCATTTGCTGTGAGCAGGACACGAATTAACACCTATGGGCCAGAGACCCCTTTTGGATGGGTTGCATTCAGAGATGCGCTGTCCAAACACACTCAATCGCCTCCTTGTGACATTATACCGAGCTGACTTTTGAGTTGATTCAAAAGTCAGATGGGTTGCATTCAGAGACGCGCTGTCCAAACACACACTCAATCGCCTCCTAGTGCTGCGTGTTGCCACTTTCACCCCCCTCCCTTAAACGGCAGGACTCAAACTACTACCTGCGCGTCAGGGATCCCTTTCCCATGGGGCACAATCAAACATGCACTGTCTCAGTTGCCTCTTCTGCTGTGCGTTGCCTCTTTCAACCCCCTCCCGTAACGATGACAGGACACGAATTACTACCTGCGGGCCAGGGATCCCTTCCCCATGGGATGGGTCGCATTCGATCATGCCCAAGTTCATTCACGCTCATTCACCTCCTCCTGCTGTTATTTTTTGCTTACTCCCCTTCACTGTGCGCAGGACACAAACTACTACCTGCGCGCCAGAGACCCCTTCCCCATGGGCCGCATTCGCACGCCGCTGGCTCGCCCGGACCTCATTTCCCTCGCCACATTCCATGGCATTCTGTATAACCTCAAGGTACTTACTGCTCGCCCGGACCTCATTTCCCTCGCCGTATGAATTTACTTACTGCTCTTTTCTTACTGCTCCTTTGACTCCCCCCCAGCTCTTCCTACGTGGTGCCACCCTCTCTCGCCCACTTAGTGACATCCTGACACCCTGCCTTGCCTCTCTCCCTCCCCTCCCCACCCTCTTACAGCTCATGGTACTGGTGCGAAACCTGACAGATACGGTGCTCTGGTCCGTGCTGCGGCGCTTCCACATGCCTAAAGTCAAATGTCTTCCCCCTGTTCGTCTTGCATGGCACCACCCTCCCCCCCAACGCCATCCGTTCCCCCTTTTTCAGCTCGTGGTGTTGGTACGAAACCTGACAGACACGGTGCTCTGGTCCGTGCTGCGGCGTTTCCACAACGACGATGTGCGGCTCACTTCATCCCCTCCCTCCTCTTCTTGCACAACACCCTCCTCCCTCTGCCCTCGCCCCCCTCCCTCTCTGCCTTTCAGCTCGTGGTGCTGGTGCGAAACCTGACAGACACGGTGCTGTGGTCAGTGCTGCGGCGTTTCCACAACGACGATGTGGGGCTGCAGGCGAGGCTGATCGAGGACAGCATGGTCTACATCGATGCCTCGCTCAGGACGCTCCCGTGCGGCACATTCAGCCTCATCGATGTGGATGCACTGGTCAAGAGACCCAAGGTACGGGGAGTCCGGAGGGTAGGGGACAGGCGGGGATGCTGATGGGAATGCTGTGGGGCTGCAGCCGATGCTGATAGAGGACAGCATCGTCGACATCAATGCCTCGCTCAGGACATTGCCGTGCGGCACGTTCAGCCTCATCGATGTTGATGCGCTTGTCAAGAGACCCAAGGTACCGGGAGCGGGATGGGCAGGGGACGGATGGTGGGAATGGTGTGGGGCTGCAGGCGAGGCTGATAGAGGACAGCATGGTGTTGTGTTAAATGCTGTGCGTCATGCATAACGTTGTATCTATTCTCCAAATCCTAAGAACTTTTTCGTTTTCATGCTCCTCAATGCGCCCCCCGCCGCACCCCTCTCTTCCATTCCGCCTCTCTGCTCCCTCCCAGACCGCCTCTACCGCTCTGGCTCAGTTTCTGGGGCTACCGGGAGTGGCCAAGGAGGAGGTGTTCAGTGCGATACAGCGCGGTAAGGAGAAGTGGGAGCCAACCCTCACAGTTCAGAGTGGGCTGGGAGCGACAGCAGACGGGGACGAGGCGGCAGAGGTCACATTTGACGGGCAGGCACTGGAAGTGTTTTTCCAGCAGCGAGTGGGGCTCTGGCCTTTGCTGGACGCAGCTAAGGGAAAGCCTGTGTTTGTGCCACGTAACCCACAGGACTGGCCTCTGGAGTAATACCCTAGACTAGATCCATTCAGAAGTGCTTGAGGCGTTTTTTTTCAGCAGCGTGTGGGCTGTGGCCGCTGCTGGACGCAGCTAGGGGGAAACCCGTGTTTGTGCCGCACAACCCACAGGACTGGCCTAGCGAATGATTTCCTTGAGCCATTTGAGGGCACTGTTTGTCATTGTGATTGAGGTGTGGCTGCTGCTTGAATCTGCCGCAAGCACCCATGTGGGCCCTATTGTAGGTTGGCGTGGGGTCAAATAATTGCATGCGCGCGGCCTTGGCTGTAGATAATGATTTTCAGCTGATTTTGGTGGGGGTGGGATGGAGATTGTGTCTCCGGCAAATTTGGTATTTGTAGCTCACAGTTTGCCGGTATGTGATTTTTTTCTTCCGCAGTTTTCTATATGTTGAGGTGTCGAAGCTGCTTGTTACGCATCCGGAACTTTCTTCCGCAAATGGGCTTTCTTGGGATTACCGCAAGTTCTCCTGCGATTTTCTCAAGATCGATTCTAGTCAGCGCTCTGGTTAACTCCATGTCACTCCTAAGTCGTTAACTCTGTCTTTTTGCAGTCGTCTGCTTCAGGGTTGCTCGTAAATATCTTAGTTTTAACAATGGTCTTGTCTCGAAGGCGTCGCTTCGCCGCGAATGGCGCCGGTCTTGCCGCAGAGGGTCCACTGGGGATTCCCGTCGGCGTGCTGATAGGATTCGTCGCACTTGTCGCATGTATAATCGCCACGGGGTACTATGCGACGTCGCGTGCGAATCAGGAGGCCGCCGAGGCGAAATCGAAGCTCGCAGAGATGGAGAAGCGATGGGCGGAACGAGGGGGGTTGTCGCAGTCGCAGGAAGGGCATGCAGAACCGCCGCCAGGGGGGTCAGAGACAATGCAGGCGGGAGGGATGAGCCAGATGAAGATGGATGCAGGTCGGTTCTCCGTGGTCGTGGTGCTCGGTTGTTTGCTCTCCTGTATATCCTGGCGTGTCGTCTGACTAGCTTCTCACGCTGCCTTAATCAATTCACGGAGCTGTGCACCCTCGAATTTCCTCGCCTCCCTCTAAAGTCCTGTACCCTCCACCTCTCCCTTTCCCCTTCCCCCCTCCACCTTTCCCATTTCCCTCAGCCTCAGAAGCAGCAGCAGTAGCAGCAGCCGATGGCCTAGCCACATGCGCTGCGGACTTGAGGCGAGCGAAGCAGCAGCTGCGGATTGCAAGGGGGTGGGTGCGAGAGGGGCTGGAGCACTGCGTTAAGCTGAGAAAGAAATACTCCCAGGCCCGGCACAAGTGGCAGGCGCGCAAGGGGAAGAGCGGTGCTGGTGGTGCTGCTGCTGAGGGTGATAGTGGTTACGGTGATGGGATTGGTGCGCTTTTTGACAAGCATGGGCATGGGGATGGTGGCGGTGGTGATGATGATAAAGATGATGTTGATGCGCATAAGCATGGGCATGAGCATGAGCATAGGCATGAGCATGAGCATGACCATGACCATGAGCATGACCATGAGCATGACCATGACCATGACCATGACCATGACCACACTACTGAAGATGCAGACCACGATGGTCATGAGGGTGCGGACGAGGACAAGCATGCCAATGACCATAATGAGCATAATCACGATCACGATGACGATGATGATGATGAGCATGGGGATGATCATGGGGATGATCATGGGGATGATCATGGGGATGATCATGGGGATGATCATGGGGATGATCATGGGGATGATCATGGGGATGATCATGGGGATGAGCATCATGGCAAGAGGAAATCTTCCAAGCACGATGAAGAGGATAATGAAAAAGATGAGAAGGACGACGAGGACAAGGAGGATAAGGAGGATGAGCATGGCAGGGACAAGCATGGTGATGGTGATGGGGATGATACGCATGATAAGGATGATGACGAAGACAAGAAAGATGATGATGCTGACCATGAGAAGGGCGTGAAAATTGGTATGGGTGTATAAGTTGGGGGAGGGTGTGGACACGAGAAGTTACATCAATATATAACAACATAGGTTTTGAGGTCATTGCTTATGAAGCTTATTTGCATCAAGAATTGGTGTACATATCAGGTTGAATTTTCTGTATGCACCTACCTACTGAAATTTGCACTAAAATTGTCAATGAATGGGGGACCATCGCCCAACCATTGGAGGAACCACATGCCGGTGACCATCAGGCCAGCATCAGGCACTCCAGTCGGGATGGTGAGGCATGTGTCACGGTGCACCGTGAGGTGCATGCTGGACAGCCAGTTGTGCAGATTCAGGCAGTACGGTACTATACATCGAGGGGAGCTAAAGGAAGAAACCACTTGCAGGTACCATCAGGCTGCCATCAGGCGCTCCAGTCGGGGATGGTGAGGCGCGTGTCGCGGTGAGCCATGAGGTGCATGCTGGGCAGCCGGTTGCGCACCTCCCGCCACACCATGTCCACCGCGTCTCCTGCCCTCGCTGGTTGCTGTTGGGGTTAGCAATGGGAGAGCAATGGGAACAGGTATGGGAACAGGTATGGGAACAGGTATGGAAACAGGTATGGGAACAGGTATCGGAACATGCACCTCTCACCACACCATGTCCACTGCATCTCCTGCCCTCGCTGGTTGCTGTTGGTGACAGGCATGGGGACAGGCATGGAAACATATGTGGGGCCACACATTGATACAGGTATGGGAACAGACACAGTAAGAGACACAGTTACAGGAACAGAATCAGGCATGATTATCGGTACGGGAACGGGCACGGTAACATACCTGGAACTCAAAGTGCTTCTGCACTTGGTGCACCTCGTGCCACATCGCCAGCCAGTCCTGTTCCGACACCTGGCGCAGCGCGGAGACCAGACGGCCTTTGACCAGGGCGTCCTGACGAGGGGAGGGACGGCAATGGGAGACAATAAAGTCAAGCGACAAATGGTGGAAAGAACGATAAAATGTGGGCACTTGTATCAATGAACACACAATATGCTCCGGCATGGTTGGATCAACAAGAGGTAGAGCGCAAAAAGCCTTTCTCACACACGCATCTCTTGGGAGAAGAAGAGTGCGAGGCGGGAGCAGTCGATGGCTGACTCAAAAGGGAGCTCCACGCGGTCAGTGACGACCACGGGCACACACCCACTCATGCCAGGTAACACAGGGCTCTGGTTGTATAAAACGAGAGCGTGAGAGGGTCACCTGTTGGGAAAAGAAGAGCGTGAGAGGGTCACCTGTTGGGAAAAGAAGAGCGTGAGGCGCGAGTAGTCGATGGCTGACTCGAAGGGCAGCTCCACGTAATCGCTGACGACCACCGGCACACACCCGCTCATGATGGCGTTGAAGAACCGCGAAGAGGAGGGTGTGTCGCCCTCCACGTGCAGACAGAAGCGCGACTGCCGCATGCCCTCCTGGGACTGTGGGCAGAAGGGGAGAGGGGGGACGGACAGTGACAGTGAGTGGTGCAAGAATGGTGGAGTCTGGAGTGGAAACTAAGAGCGTGTGTCGAGTCGGGTTTTGAGTCGACTCAAAAACTGACTCATCACAAGTGGAAACTAAGAGCGTGTGTCGCCCTCCACGTGCGGGCAGAAGCGCGCCCGCCGCATGCCCTCTTGGGACTCAAGCAAAAATGAAGAGCGGGGAGGGACACGCACACAGAGTGGCTCGAGAATGCTGGAATTTGGAATAGCAAGCAGGAGGGGGGTATTCGGGTGAGGCACCGCCCCCCACGTGCAGTCAGATCAGAAGCATGCCCTCTGGGGACTGGAGGGTGTCACATAATAGAGTGGTCATTTCAAAATAAGGAGTTGGTGGAAAGAGGAAGGGCAGGCAGGTGCATACGACACTTGGCCAAAGGTGCACCGCATGTTGCCAAATGTGAGTGAAACGGGGCAGAACGTGTGTGCGTGACAGAAGCACTCACATCGCGGATGGACTGGCTGGAGCCCGAAGCCTCCCTCACATGCACATCCGCCTCCCCCTGTAGCTCGTCGAATAGGGCCTTGCGCCGCTGAGGAGGGGGAGGGAGCGCAGAGAGGGGTGGCAGGAAAGGCAGAGAATGATAAGGGGGGGAGACAGAGAGGCAGCTTCCCTCACATGCCCGTCCTCCTCCCCCTGTAGCTCGTCAAACAGGGCCTTGCGCCGCTGAGGAGGGGGATGGAAGGGGAGAGAGGGCAGGCAGAGAGTGAGAAGATGGGGGGAGAGGCAGCCTCCCTCACAAGCAAATTGCTCCCCTCTGTAACCACGCACCCCCGTTGTCCCCACACACTCACATCCTTGCGTTGCAGCGTGCCCTGGAAGTAGAGCAGTGTGGTGCGCCGTGCAAACACACCCGCATCCGCAGCAGCAGCAGCAGCAGCAGCGGCACCACCTGCTACTGCTCCTCTCCCTGCTGCTCCTGCCTCCCCGCCAGTCACTTGTCCGTCCCTTCCACCACCATCGCCCTCCCCTTCCTCACTCCCACCCTCGCCTTCCTCCCCTTCCTTCCCCTCCCCTTCCTTCCCCGTCCCTTCCTTCTCATTGTCTCCGCCTTCCAATTCCTCACTCTCCACCTCCCTCGTCTCGGATCCCACCCCACCCACCAGCCGTCTCCCTTCACCCACCAGCCGCCTCCTCTCTCCCTCCCCATCGTCATCCTTCTTCTCCACCTCCTCTTTTTCCCCCTTTCCCTTCCCCTTCCCCTTTACCTTCTCCTTCTCCTCCTCCTCAGCCTCTTCCCCAACCTCGTTTTCCACCTTTTCCCCCTTTCCTTTTTCCTCCTCATTTTCCCCCTCCTCACCCTCCTCCTCCTCCTCCTGCTCCTTCTCACTCGTCCCCTTCCCGTTCCTGTTCCGCGTCCCCTTCTCCTTCTCCTCTTCACCCTCTTCCTCTCCCCCCTCCGCCTCCACTGCTCCTTCCCTGTTATCCTTGATCCCGTCTCTATCTACCTCCTCCTCCCCTCCCTCCCTATCTCCGGCCCCCTCCCTCCCCTTCCCCAGGCGGCTCCCAGCCTCAGCTTCAGCTTCGGCTACCGCTGCCGGACCTCCTCCCCTGCCTCCTCCTCCAATCCCTCCTTGGGCGTCCCGCCTCTCAGCCTCTGCACTGTAAGTCTCCACCAGCGCCCCGTAAGGTGCGATGATGTCCTTGTGCAGATCCGCCTCCCCTGCTTCGTACCTGGATTAGGGCCAGGCAGGAGAACAAGGGTGAGAATGTGGGGAGGTGAGCTTGGCCCCGTCAGGTGCTATGATGTTCTTGTGCAGATCCGCCTTCCCCGGTTCGTACCTGGGTGAGGGGCAGGGTGTGCAGTGCAGGAGTGTACAGGGGGAGGTGAGGTTGGTTCAGCAGGTCCGAGTCACCTGTACAGCAGGCACGTGCTCCCCCTTTCACCCTGCTACCCCTGCTGCCCTTCCACCCACCTTGCACCTACTGCAAGTCCTCACCCACCTGGCGAGGTCAACAGCGACCAAGGCAACAGCGGCCATGTGGTGCCGCACGGTTTCAAGGTTGCTCTCTGCTGCTCCTCCTCCTCCTCCCCCTTCCACCCATACTACCGCTGCTCTCTCCTCCTCACCCACCTGGCGAGGTCAACAGCAACGAAGGCAGCAGCGGCCATGTGGTGCCGCACGGACTCGAGGGCGTTGGGGTGGGTGACGCACAGCACGTGGTCCCTGCCTCCCCGCCGCTGCCACCACGGCGACGCGCTCATCAACTCCGCCATCTCCATCTGGTGGAATGTGGTGAAGTGAGGTGCGGGAAGGTGAGGTGTGGCGGGGTGTGGTTGGGTAAGGGGGAGATTAATCAACTGAATAGGTGACGACAGAATGTGCTCGCTTCCCCCCCTGCACTGCCACCAGGGCGACGTGCTCATCAGCTCGGCAAGCTCCACCTGGTGGAATGCGGTGAGGTGCGGTGGAGTGAGACAAGGTGGGGTGGGTGGGTGAGTCAGAGGAGGGATGGGAGGCTGGCAAGTTGAGGATGGTGGACGCGAAGAAGGACACGAGAAACACGACATGTCTATAACGAGGACGTAGTGTTGGGGATGGTATTACAGAAAAGAACGCACCGCGAGAGCCTTGTAGGTGGGGAAGTTCTTTCGTCGGAGCAGGTTGACCATGGTGGACGCGAAGAAGGGCACGAGGAACACGTCCGCGTGTGCGGGGTCGCTCACCCTCACTGCCGCCACTCCGGGGTCTCTCTTCTGTTGATGTGTGTGGGCAGGGATGCACAGGGAGGGAATGCACAGGGTTACATTGAAAGAGAAACACGTCCGCGTGTGCGGGGTCGCTCACCCTCACTGCCGCCACTCCGGGGTCTCTCTTCTGTTGATGTGTGTGGGCAGGGATGCACAGGGAGGGAATGCACAGGGTTACATTGAAAGAGAGACACGTCCGCGTGTGCGGGGTCGCTCACCCTCACTGCCGCCACTCCGGGGTCTCTCTTCTGTTGATGTGTGTGGGCAGGGATGCACAGGGAGGGAATGCACAGGGTTACATTGAAAGAGAAACACGTCCGCCTGTGCGGGGTCGCTCACCCTCACTGCCGCCACTCCGGGGTCTCTCTTCTGTTGATGTGTGTGGGCAGGGATGCACAGGGAGGGAATGCACAGGGTTACATTGAAAGAGAGACACGTCCGCGTGTGCGGGGTCGCTCACCCTCACTGCCGCCACTCCGGGGTCTCTCTTCTGTTGATGTGTGTGGGCAGGGATGCACAGGGAGGGAATGCACAGGGTTACATTGAAAGAGAAACACGTCCGCGTGTGCGGGGTCGCTCACCCTCACTGCCGCCACTCCGGGGTCTCTCTTCTGTTGATGTGTGTGGGCAGGGATGCACAGGGAGGGAATGCACAGGGTTACATTGAAAGAGAGACACGTCCGCGTGTGCGGGGTCGCTCACCCTCACTGCCGCCACTCCGGGGTCTCTCTTCTGTTGATGTGTGTGGGCAGGGATGCACAGGGAGGGAATGCACAGGGTTACATTGAAAGAGAAACACGTCCGCGTGTGCGGGGTCGCTCACCCTCACTGCCGCCACTCCGGGGTCTCTCTTCTGTTGATGTGTGTGGGCAGGGATGCACAGGGAGGGAATGCACAGGGTTACATTGAAAGAGAAACACGTCCGCCTGTGCGGGGTCGCTCACCCTCACTGCCGCCACTCCGGGGTCTCTCTTCTGTTGATGTGTGTGGGCAGGGATGCACAGGGAGGGAATGCACAGGGTTACATTGAAAGAGAAACACGTCCGCCTGTGCGGGGTCGCTCACCCTCACTGCCGCCACTCTGGGGTCTCTCTTCTGTTGATGTGTGTGGGCAGGGATGCACAGGGAGGGAATGCACAGGGTTACATTGAAAGAGAGACACGTCCGCCTGTGCGGGGTCGCTCACCCTCACTGCCGCCACTCCGGGGTCTCTCTTCTGTTGATGTGTGTGGGCAGGGATGCACAGGGAGGGAATGCACAGGGTTACATTGAAAGAGAAACACGTCCGCCTGTGCGGGGTCGCTCACCCTCACTGCCGCCACTCCGGGGTCTCTCTTCTGTTGATGTGTGTGGGCAGGGATGCACAGGGAGGGAATGCACAGGGTTACATTGAAAGAGAAACACGTCCGCGTGTGCGGGGTCGCTCACCCTCACTGCCGCCACTCCGGGGTCTCTCTTCTGTTGATGTGTGTGGGCAGGGATGCACAGGGAGGGAATGCACAGGGTTACATTGAAAGAGAAACACGTCTGCGTGTGCGGGGTCGCTCACCCTCACTGCCGCCACTCCGGGGTCTCTCTTCTGTTGATGTGTGTGGGCAGGGATGCACAGGGAGGGAATGCACAGGGTTACATTGAAAGAGAGACACGTCCGCCTGTGCGGGGTCGCTCACCCTCACTGCCGCCACTCCGGGGTCTCTCTTCTGTTGATGTGTGTGGGCAGGGATGCACAGGGAGGGAATGCACAGGGTTACATTGAAAGAGAAACACGTCCGCGTGTGCGGGGTCGCTCACCCTCACTGCCGCCACTCCGGGGTCTCTCTTCTGTTGATGTGTGTGGGCAGGGATGCGCAGGGAGGGAATGCACAGGGTTACATTGAAAGAGAAACACGTCCGCCTGTGCGGGGTCGCTCACCCTCACTGCCGCCACTCTGGGGTCTCTCTTCTGTTGATGTGTGTGGGCAGGGATGCACAGGGAGGGAATGCACAGGGTTACATTGAAAGAGAGACACGTCCGCCTGTGCGGGGTCGCTCACCCTCACTGCCGCCACTCCGGGGTCTCTCTTCTGTTGATGTGTGTGGGCAGGGATGCACAGGGAGGGAATGCACAGGGTTACATTGAAAGAGAGACACGTCCGCCTGTGCGGGGTCGCTCACCCTCACTGCCGCCACTCCGGGGTCTCTCTTCTGTTGATGTGTGTGGGCAGGGATGCACAGGGAGGGAATGCACAGGGTTACATTGAAAGAGAAACACGTCCGCGTGTGCGGGGTCGCTCACCCTCACTGCCGCCACTCCGGGGTCTCTCTTCTGTTGATGTGTGTGGGCAGGGATGCACAGGGAGGGAATGCACAGGGTTGCATTGAAAGAGAGACACGTCCGCCTGTGCGGGGTCGCTCACCCTCACTGCCGCCACTCCGGGGTCTCTCTTCTGTTGATGTGTGTGGGCAGGGATGCACAGGGAGGGAATGCACAGGGTTACATTGAAAGAGAGACACGTCCGCGTGTGCGGGGTCGCTCACCCTCACTGCCGCCACTCCGGGGTCTCTCTTCTGTTGATGTGTGTGGGCAGGGATGCACAGGGAGGGAATGCACAGGGTTACATTGAAAGAGAGACACGTCCGCCTGTGCGGGGTCGCTCACCCTCACTGCCGCCACTCCGGGGTCTCTCTTCTGTTGATGTGTGTGGGCAGGGATGCACAGGGAGGGAATGCACAGGGTTACATTGAAAGAGAAACACGTCCGCCTGTGCGGGGTCGCTCACCCTCACTGCCGCCACTCCGGGGTCTCTCTTCTGTTGATGTGTGTGGGCAGGGATGCACAGGGAGGGAATGCACAGGGTTACATTGAAAGAGAGACACGTCCGCGTGTGCGGGGTCGCTCACCCTCACTGCCGCCACTCCGGGGTCTCTCTTCTGTTGATGTGTGTGGGCAGGGATGCACAGGGAGGGAATGCACAGGGTTACATTGAAAGAGAAACACGTCCGCGTGTGCGGGGTCGCTCACCCTCACTGCTGCCACCCTTGGGTCTCTCTTCTGTTGACGCGTGTGGGCGAGAGCAGAGGGAGGGGCGAACAAAGGGATGGATGAGCAAGGGGAAGGGCAAGCAGAGGGAGGGGAGCAGGGGGGAACAGAGGGCTACATTATAGGAGAAAAACAGAAGGGGTGCACAGCATGTCGCATGGACGTACGGTGGGGGCATGCAGCATGTCATCTCGCGTGTCTTCCTTCAACGCACCGAGGGTGGTTGCAGCAGGTCGGCGACGAGAAAGTATTCGAGGCTGTGCTGCCACGCCGTGGGGTGCACGTCGCCGCCCGCCGGCCACCCCCACGGCGGGATGGGCGGCTCGTCCATGCTGCCGTTCGTGCGCTGCTCCTGCCGCGTCTTCCACTTGGGCTCCATCAAGCCCAGGTTCATCCGACGTGGCAGCTCGTGCACGTACACGCGCACCCGCCCGTCCCAGCACTGCTCGCCCTCGCCATCTTGATTGCGTTTATTCTCGATATTAGCTTCGCTGGATGTGCTTCTATCGGGACGAGTACTTTCGCTACTGTCACGTGAGCTACGACTCAGTTCAGTCGTCTTTCCGTCGACCTGATTGCTGTCTTCCTGAATGGCATCCTGGATGCTCGTTTTTTCAAGGTTTTCCCGCAATGCAACATCGGACGGCGGAGGGAGAACTGGTGAAGCATCGGACGATGGAGGATGAGTTGAGAGAGCACTGGGAGGGGATGCTTCGAAGAGGTCCTCTACTCGCGCGATCTCCGCTGGCTGGCGGGTGACGAGCAGCAGGGCGACCCCCAGAAAGAGTGCGACGGGGAATGCGACGATTCGCGGCACCTTTTGTCGCATGAGCCGGACGACAGCCCCATCCATGGGGCCAGCCTGGCGTCGCCTCGTCGCTCTAGCGTGAAAACTACTTACTGTAGTGGGGTGCGGATTTCAGTCACATTGTGCGAAAGGCTAAAAGAGCTTTAGGAGTTGGCCGAACAAGACTTCCAGGTCAGACTGCCAGAGCGATCTAGCCATACGTAGAGGATTAACGTGGACTACACATGGAGATTCGCGAAAAGAAGCCAGTGAAAGCACAGCGATACGAAACGTCGATACAGGAAAATGAACGTCGCAACTTCACACTGCAACCGTGGAAAGAGATACGGCCAAGGAGCTACTAATGAAGTACTTCGACGTTAATCCTGAATGGAGTAGATTCTCTGAATAGAGCAACCTTGATCTTGCCATACAACAGTCTGTGTATCAGATCACAGACTTTGACAAACTGAGTGCTTTACAAGGAGTCTCGAATTTCCCCTACAGGAGGGCTTTTCGTTTCTTGTATAATGACTTATTATCAGTGTAGTGAACCCTACAAGTCAAATGCGAGGCTTGGAGGCCAATCACTTTCTGTCAGACATTTCAAAAATGTTTCCCGCTCAGATACGGAGCGCTTGCAAATTTTTGAATTTCTGCAGCGACTCGTTTTCCTCGCTGCAAACCGCGGCGCGCCAGTCGTAATTTAGGGAATTCATGAAGCAGACCTCCCCCCCCCCCCTGCCTCACTTGTCTGTGGCAGCAGCACCCTCTCTCGTCTCCTCTCGCCCTTGCAAATCCAAGCCTTAGTCTTCGTTCCAACGCCTCCGGCACACCGTAGCTATCGAAGTCTGCTGTTTCTATTGCTGTTCTCACCGTCGCCGAGTTTAGTCTTCTCACTTCAGTAGTCTCGCTGTTTGATGATATGTTCGTATTATCCTTAGCTACGTCAGATCTGTCTAGTGATTTTTCCGTTCGATCTTCAGAGTACATGTAATAGCTCGCCACGCCTTCTTCCTTTCCTAGTCACTCAGTTACGCGTCATAGCTTTTACCAATGGCAACCGTATCAGGAAAGCGCAGTGGTCGGAGACCTGGCAGGCTGCAGAACAAGCTCGCCTTCTCCTCCCGCTTCAATGACGAAAACGCCTTCCCCTATTCCCCATCTCTCTCAAAACCTTCCCCCACTCTTCTCGCTGACGTCACCACCCCCGCGCTTCCACTTCCCGTGGAAACCGTTACCGGCAGCGAGGAGGTGCATCCGGTGGGCCTCGCGGCCGTCACGCAATGGTTTGACGGCTCCGTCAAGTCGGGCCTCCCGCCAACTGGCAGATCCGGCGTCCGATCTGCACTGCAGGATTTCTCCGATAATTCCTTCTTTTCCTTTCCGTCGGGAAAATCATCCGCCATGTCCGCGTTTGGGATGAGGAGCGTTAACGAGAACAGCCGTCGGAACACGTCGGTGCCTGCAGCTGCGGTCCCTCCGCAAAGCACGCAATCCCTAGTCGAGATGTTACCGCCCAACACGCTCAAGGCAACAGAGCTCGTGCCATCCGTACCTATCGTGCCGCCCCGTCTCTCCGCGTCCGTCCGTCAGTCTATCTCCGGCGCTCCTCCGTTTCTCGCAAACTACACCAGTTCCTCTGCCGTCGGACTCGGCTCTGCTCCGTCATCTCGACGGACGTCGTTCGCCGGCAGTGTTGACGGCAGCGTCTCTTCGTCGTCCGCAGCAATGGTGTTTCCGCCCCCGTCGCGGACCAGCCAGCGGCGGATCTCCGCCCTGGCGGAAAGCGCGGGGGATTTTTCCGCCATGCTGCCGGAAGAGCGGGAGTTTCTTGCGGACGTGGCGGAGTTCCACGGACTCCCCGTCCGCGCGTCGCTGCAGTCTTTGCCGCCTTTGGCGGAAAGCTTTCCGCCGCAAGCTCGGCAGCTGCAGAACGGAGCAGGGAGGCGCGTGAGCCTGGCGTGGATGTCGCTTGACGGACAGCTGAAGAACGTGGAAGCGTTGACGGAAAACGTCGGAGCTAGCGGCGTGTTGACGGAAGACGAACAGCATTCGTGGCTGAGCATCCCGCCCGTCTACGTGAGAAACTTGACTATCCCAACTCCGTTCTGACCCTTGCTGATCCACGCGAAAGCTTCAATTCATTAACTCGTGAAGCAGTTTGCGGCATGTACCAGCCTGCTGCGCTGCTCTTGTGAATTACAACTCATGGGTATGTCACGATGAAATCAGTGTCAAGGTTGCTTTGTTTCTTTTTTCTCCTCCCGCAGCGCGCGTTAATCCTCACGATGACGTGGAAGGCAGTCTCGACGGCCAGGACGCAGATGAAGCGCGAGTTCGCGCGGATCCGCAAGTTGATCCGCGCAAAGGACGCGGATGCGCGCTCTTTGCGCAAGAAGCTCGTCGCCTTGCGATCGCAGCAGCCCAAATCTGTCGTCTCGTCGCCCGTCGCCAGCCCGTCGTCGGGCGTCGCACGCGTCGCGGAAGGTGGTCCGAGTCCCGCGAAAGCGAGCGGTGATGATTCACAGGTAGGTGCTGAAGACTCGTTCGCACACGCTTGTAACTGTCGCAGACGTTCGTTGTTGTCATCTTGGCGAGGGTAAGGAGCCGTTATGTTTGCATCAAACGCAAATCCTCTTCGTTATGTCTTCGTTAGAATGTTATCCGTCTCCATTTCAATCATCAATCCTTACTCCTTCCTCCTTACTTTGTGTTCTTCTTTGCATCTTCAGGTGCAGCAGCTACTGCAGGCCAAGGACCTCGAATTGAAACTGTTGGAGGAACAGTTGAAACGCGTGGAGATGGAACGGGATGAGATGGGTGGGAAGATGAAACGGGCTGCTGCGGAGATGCAACGGATGGAGGAACAGTTGAAAGGCAGGGAAGAACGTATAAGGAGCATGGGCGAGGAGATGAAACGGGGGATTGAAGGGAAAGAGCAGGCGGCGAGGGAGATGAAACGCATGGAGACGGAGATGAAACGGATGGCGGAGGAGATGAAACGCTCGGAGGACCGGTGCGGGGAGGTTGAGGCGTCGCGATCCGCGACTCAGGAGGCTCTGAACAGTGCCGTGGAATCGAACTCCGCGCTGAAGGTGAGACAAACGAATGTGAATGTAACAGCTCCTTTCCGTATGTATGTGTCACTCCTCTTCCGTTAGTGCACATGATTTGACTCCGCTTGTTCCGCAGCATGTTGCTGTGGCATATGTCCCAGCTGTGCTCATCCCCGCTCTGCTCGCCTATGCATTGTGAATGCGCGTCTCCCCCCAGTGCGTGTTTTTCCCCAATGCGCGTCTCCCCCCAATGCGCGTCTTCCCCCAATACGCGTCTTGCGTGTCTCTCCCCCAATGCGCGTCTTCCGCCAATGCGTGTCTCTCCCCAATGCGCGTCTTCCGCCAATGCGTGTCTTCCGCCAATGCGTGTCTTCCGCCAATGCGTGTCTTCCGCCAATGCGCGTCTTCCGCCAATGCGTGTCTTCCGCCAATGCGTGTCTTCCGCCAATGCGTGTCTTCCGCCAATGCGTGTCTTCCGCCAATGCGTGTTTTCCGCCAATGCGTGTCTTCCGAAATGCGTGCCTTCCGCCAATGCCCGCCTCGGCCCGCAGGATCTGATGGAGATGCAGGCAGCGCACATTGCGGAGCTCAAAGCCCTCGTTCTCAGTCAGACGGAGGCCATTCAGGAGCTGACACGTGGCAGCCAGAATGGCGCAGATGTGGGGAAGCCAGCCGGGGAGGAGGAGGACGAGGAGAAGAACGAAAAGGAGGCGGAGGAGAAGGCGGAGGAGAAGGCGGAGGAGAAGGCGGAGGAGGCGGAGAAGGGGGGCGATGCGAGGAGCGCGGGGATGGAGGAGCTGATGGCCATGGTGAGTCGCGCGGGCCGCATGCCTTGTGCCTTCACACCATGCCTGGTGTTCTCATGTGCTCACATTCATCTCGACTTGACTGTACCGTTGCTTCCTACGTTCCTTTCCCTTTCTATTTTCACCTGCCCCTTTTTTCCCCATACACTCTCTCCCCCCCACCAACCCCTCTTCCCCCCAGCTGTCCCACCAGTCCGCGGAGATCTCCGCGCTCAGCCGCGCCGTGCAGGCCTCTACCTCCGCCCTCCGCCGCACCCCCTCGCCCTCCGCGTCCCCTTCCGCTTCCCCCGAGTCCAACACCCCCCTCACGGCAAAACTCGCCGTATCCTCAGGGGAAGGGGTAGGGGGAGGCGCAGGCGCGGGCGCAGGCGCACCGGCGGAGCCGGGGCTGTGGCGGATGGGGCTTCCCCTGCTGGGGTCGCCCGTGGGGTTGACGCCTTCCCCCCCCGGAAGAGGGGAGATGAGGGTGGTTGCGCGGATCAGGGGGAACGTGTACGGCGCAGTGCCCAAGTACGGGGGCGCGGGGACGGATGGGGCGAACGCGGGGGAGAAGATGGGGACGGTTGAGGAGGAAGGGCGGGGAATGGCGCTCGGTGGTGGTGGCAGTGCTGGTGGCAGTGGTGCTGGTGCTGGTAACACTGGTAACACCGCTTACAGTGTTATCAATGTTAGCTACGGTGCTGGTGGCGGCGATGCTGTTGGGGGGAGAAGCAGCAGTTGCAGTGTG